ACACACACACACACACACACACACACACACACACACACACACACACACTGAGTTCTTCTTACAAGTGGACCTTATTTTCAGAAAATGACTGGAGTCAGAAGTCAGGCTCTATAATAAAATGTAACTAATAAAAAAAAAAAAAAAGAAGTCAGGCTCTACATGACTGAACTCAACATGTTTTTTCCCCCTAAGGATGGACACTGAGCCCCGCTCCCAACCACCAAAATAGTAATGTTATCCCCCTTCACAGTGTTAGAGTGAAGACTACTGAAGCTCCAAGGCTTAAGCAGTTCAGATACACAGGTACAATATATGTATCAGGAGGTAGGCCTGCTGGGTTTGACAAAACACTCTCCACAAACATATTCCTTCTGACTGAGTTACTGTATTTTCATTACAGTATGGAGAAGAGGAGTGCACAGGAGTACAGGTGCCCTCAGAAGGCAGAAGAGGATATCAGTTCTCCTACAGCTGGAGTTACAGGCAGTTGTGAGTTGCCCAAGATGGGTGCTGGGAACCAAACTCTGGTCCTCTGTGAGCATAATAAGTGTTCTTAATGCTTAAGCCATCTCTCTAGCCTCTCTGGGTTTCTGTATTAACAATAAGTTTGAAAAAAGAATAAAACAAAAAGAATTAGAAAAAAGAATAAAACAACACAGTTTCAAAGCCACAGTTATCTCAAAAGGGAGAGGTGTGTTCTCTGAGAATTGAGGTGCAGATGCACACCCCAGTGAGGCACTGTCACCACAGCTCCCGACTTTGCAAATGACTGACTCTTCCATGCTGGACTCCCTGAAGTGGAGAAGAGATACACAATCCCAGAAGAGGCAAAGGATAGCTCACAACCACTGGTGTCTTGTTTGCTAGGCAAGGTGGATCCTGAGCTCTAGCTCAACAACCTCTCCCCCAACCCCCCAAAAAATATCTGCTCTTACTACTTTCCCCTACAGGATACTTTTCTCCAGTTTGCCAGGTCAAAGGCTATTTTCTTCTAGAAATGTCCTGAATGCATACTTGCTTTCCCTGCCTCCTGCCAATGGTATGTGCACTGGCCCAGAAAGTCTCTTATAATGTTGTCCAACTATGAATTCTGCTTTCTATTTCAGAGGGACATGACAAAAAAGGGAATTATAAATATTTAAACTTTTTTTGGTGAAGCACACCATACAAATACTAAAAGAATATGCCATGAAGTTGAAATTACTTAGGGTACAAAAAATAATAAGTTAGCATGATAAAGTAAAAAGGCAAGGAAAGGGGAGAAACAGTGGAAGCAAAGTTAAATAAACAGAGAAAGAGGAATAGAAAAAGAATATTCTGGAAAGAAAAAAGGAAAAAAAATAACGAAAAGAAAAAGAAGAAAACTAAGAAGTTATCGTGTAACAGATGACTCAGAGGGTAAGTACTTGTCACCAAACATGAAGCCCTGAGTTCGAATCTTCAGAACCTGTGTAAAGCCTGGTTTGCAGCCCATCTGTAACCTCAGTGTTCCTATGGTAGCAAGATTGGAGGTGGAATATATCCCCCACCCAGGTTCTCAAACAAGGCAGAAGATGAGGATCAATGCTCCACTCCGATGCTGTGGCAGGAATATGCTCACACTCATACATACTAACATACACATAGCCACAAACACAAAAATAAAAATGTAATTTAAAAAAAGCACTGCAAAACATGAAGTTTGAAAAAGTAAAAAGCACATCACAGAAATAAAGCTGAAATAGAGAGACAACAGGAAAAGGGACAGCATAACACCAAGTACATAATGGGACCAGAATTCTGCACAACCTTACCTTTTCCATATTCATGCCTGTCCATGTATGCAAGGCTGCTCTATTCAGACTGTCTTATTGGTGCTGGTGCTCTCCTCCTCCACTGCATGAGCTCTGCCATGAAGACAGCAGACCTGGCTTCCTATACTCTCCTGCCCAACTCCCTGCCCTGAAGTACAATAGCACTAATCAGAATATTACTGCAGATTTTCTTGTCTCTGTGTAGCCATTGAAAATAAAGTTTTGATTTGATTTTTAAAATTTTCTTCCTCTTAGAATCATTCTGAATGATATAACACTGAATCTGTATGAATTATAGACAATAAGAAATATAAACTGTTTTATTTACCTAGAAAATCTCCTTTAGTCATCTTTTCATATAATTTGGCCTTTTCTTCCAATTTTTCCCTAGGAGAAAAACAGACAAGTATTAGACATGGTCCTAGAATTGTCCCTTCTACCACCAAAATATCAGTTTGGCAGCAGCTACCTCCCCTGAAGCCTTCCATGAAAAGATGGGCACAGTGCTTGCCGACTGCCCTGTCCTGAAGAAACCTTCAGTCTTACTTCATCTACTTCATTAGTGAAAGCAGAAGCATGCCTCAGGACCTGAAGCCATTCCTGGTACATTATAATTGTTCAGTAAATATCTGATGACTTAATAAATGGATGCACTAAGTTAAAGCTCCAACAATTTAGGTGCTAAATGCAACTTAGGTTACATACCAAAAGAGAGATGTATTTAAACACAGCATTTTTCTATTTAAAGTTTCCAAAAGGATCACCAGGTTCATGGAAAGCCCCTTCTCCATAGTGTTTTTAGACCAGGGGGTCATCTGTGGCGTCTTGCACTTCTTTATACTGACTTATCTTTGTTAAAAACAAGACAATATCTATTCCAAAGAGCACAAATAATACATTCAAGCCACAAACTAACATAAAACAAACATCCCTGGCATATTCAACAAAGTAGCCTCTCTGCTCATATAATTTTGGTGGCATTTATCATATAGTGAGAGATGCAGCAGCAGCAAGACTTACCAACAATACAAATCACACATGAAAATGTTTTAGTGACCAGAATACTTAGTCTCAAAATTACCCAACCCAGGTTATTATTAATCACATAGGAGAAAAGGCAAACTCAGAGTAGAGAACTCTTCCAGATTTTTTCTAACCAAGTGAACAAACTCACCATTATCAATGACTCAAACTGACAATTATGAGCATCGGGATAAGATTCATTGGGTAAGACACAAAGACTACACAGTATTCTTAAATGAAAACTTTAATGTAACCCCATTCAGACACAGAACATAGCAGGAAAAAAAAAAAAAAACTGGCTTGGACACTTAAAAATGTCAGCAGGGTAACTGACAACAAAAGGCAAAATTGGAGAGATATGAGGGCTAAAGGTATGAATGAAATATAATCTTTGAATCCTGAATTTCTTTTTTTTCCTGATTTTTCAAGATAGGGTTTTTCTGTATAACAGCCCTGGATGTCCTGGAACTCACTTTGAGAATCTTTCACAAAACCTATTTAGGGCATAATTGTGCTGGGACAAGTGGCAAAATTTGAAATATGAGCCACAAAGTAGTATTAAACACAGTATAAGATACCGTCCTTGTTCAGATAAGATATATACTGAAATACTCACAAGTCATGAATATCGTGACACTTAAAAGTCTTCCTCTATAGGTGTGGAGGAAACGCAGAGGAAAGCAAATATAACAACATTCTAATTAGTAAATTTAGGAGACAGGCATTAAAATGTTCATTTTAACCATCTTTTAATTATATTCTTAATTTGGGAGGGAAAGTTTGGGGTCTCTAAGTATGAATGTCTTATCATCTAGCCTAGAACATAGTATTGGACACTTCTTAAAAATGTGTGATAAGTTGAAGATGTGGCTCAGTGGACAAGACTAGGTATTGCATCCCTAGAAATATAAGTTTAAAAAAAAATGGTTGATATAGACCAGGCAGTGGTGGCACATGCCTTTAATTTTAGTGGCAGAGACAGGTGGATCTCTAACTTCAAGGCCACCCTGGTCTACAGAGCAAGTTCCAGGATAGGGCTACTCAGAAAAAAGACCCTGTCTTGAAAAACAAACAACAACAACAAAAATTGTTGATACAGCCTTTCCTTTCTTTCAGCTGCCAGAAAGATGGCAGACATTCAGACCAAGGTGCTTACCAAAGCAGCCCACAATCTTTTAAAACAAGAAGCTGATTCTGCTGAGAGAAACTACGAAGGAGAGGTTCTTTCAGTACTACAAAAACATTGGTCTAGACTTGAAGATACCCAAAGAGGCACCTAAACAGGCAAGAAATGCCTCTTCACTGGTAACATCTCCAACCAAGGTCACATCTTTTGTCTGGTGTCATCCGCCAAACTTTATCCACTACATCCAAAAGCACAGTCAATTTGAAAAGCATCACAAAAACATATCTGTACAACTGTCCCCTTTTCAGGGACATAGAGACTGACAACATTGTCACCATGGGATGGTACAGGTCCTTGAGTAAGACAGTATGCTTCACTGTGCTCAAGGTCACCAAGGCTGCCAGCACTAAGAAGCAGTTCCAGAAGTTCTGAGAAGATGTTGGCCAACTCCCAGAACAAAGTTATTTTTCAACTTTGAAAAAAAAAAGTTGATATATTTAGTGTGTTATAAAAACTCAAAACAGATCCTTATTTCATCTTCTAAACTGAACTTATCTTTTTGTAAAACACACATACGTAAATTACAGCATTTTAGAAGACAGCCAGCCCTCCGTCTATACCTCCAGATTCAACTAATTGGAAAGAAATAATATTCCAAAACAATGTTTCAGTGTTGCTAATGTATACTGTGTATCTGTCTGTACAGATTTTCTTTCTTGGCATTCCCTGAGGATTACAGAATAACAACTACATCATATTAGGCATAGCAGGTAATCTAGAAGATTTTAAAGTATACTGGATTTTTTTACAGACCACCCCACTCTATCTATCTTAGGCATCCTCAAGCTTTGGTATCTGAGGCAAGGGAGGGTCCCAGAACCAACCAATACCCCTCAGATATCAAGAGACACTATATTTACATTTATGGAGTATTTGACTAGACGGATGTAGACCAGGAAGAGTAACATCTGAATGCCTATTTCTTTGTTTGGTAACTACAAATATAACTACCTTGCTTTGTCTAAAGTCTTCTGCTCCTCAAGTTTCTGTTCAGCATCCTTCTCTGCTCGACTGGACACGCCTGCATTTTGCTTGTTCCAGATACTTGGCTTCTGGAGAATAATTCAAAAGAACAAAACTAAACCACATGATTGCAAAACAATCTCAGCTTGCATCAAAAGGAGAGAAAATCGTTAGATCTCATGAATCATCAGAGAACTACTTATTCTGACAGCTAATTTACAGCCTACAACAGACTACCTGCATATGACTGTAAAAGTAACTTTTATTTCCCTGATGTAATTGTCATCTCCAAGCCTTACTGCCTCTATCTGCTAACCTAGGCCTAGTCCTGGAAGCTTCTAGCCTCTGTACACTAGAATGTTTTCAGCCTCTGAGACTTAGTGCTGAATAAGCTCACTCTTTCTAGTTCTTTCTGATTTCTGGCTGGCTTGTTCAACTCAGATGTTCTGGCTCAAACCCTTCTCCAAGCTGACTGATTTAATATGCCTTCTCTCAGTTTCTCACTGAATTGCTCTGCTTGGTCTTAAACTAACTCTAGCAATATGTTCTAATCTTCTGACTCCTTCCCATACACTGGCTCATTCTGTCTTCACCCATGTCTAGTTTGTTCTCTCTTCAACCTCTCTCTGTAAAATTCTCCCAGTAAAAACTGCCTCTGAATCCCACAAACTGAAATGCCACGAACTCAACTTCACTGCATTGCTTAACTCACTGACTCAACCAAACTGCCTGAACAGTACTGACTAGAACTCTATCTCCTGGGATTAAAGGTGTGTCTGTATTCCAGCTGGATCACACAGACCTAGAAGGTCTTTGGATGTGATCTCTTGCTAGAGCAGCCATGCTCTGAATTAAAATTTCTCTATACATGACAATGCTGGAGTTGAAAAAAAGTTCTATATCACATAAAGAATTTCCTTCTAAATGTCACTGAGTTGCTTTCTCAACTGACTTTTACCCCCGATAACACCATTCAATATTCCAATGAACCTGAGCAGAATACAAAGAAATACAATAGATTACTACCTATTAAAAAAACAAAAAATTGTTAAAGTCTTTCATATTTTAAGTCTATTTCTATATTTTACAATTGTTTATCTGTGCTTGGATATAAAATACATGCTAATCATCCATGAGAATATAACTTATTAATAGCATGTTAAAGAAGAACATTGGGACTGGAGAGATGGCTTAGCATTCATTATGAGGGCTTACTGTTCTTGTAGAGCACCTGAGTTCAGTTCCCAGCCACCCACCTTGCTTGCCTTACGACCACCTATAGCTCCAGTTCCAGGGAATCCAACACCCTTTTCTGGCCTTTGAGGGCACTCATACACAGGTGGCATACACATGCATGACATATGTACACACATAAATAAAATAAATATTTTTAAAAAGTGTATTAAATAATCTTACTAATTTTAATATTTAACATTTATGCAAACGTTCAAGTATAAGTCAGGCATTTTTTCCCTTTACTTATTTACAGGTAACTACTGACATTTTTTTCAAAAACTTAAAACACAATGTAATTCTTCCATGTTTGAAATCAGTAGAGATATCTTTACCTTATTAGTTGTCTTTGGTTTTCCAAAAACTCCAGAATCTTTTAGAAGTTTTTCTTGTTTGAATTCTTCTTGTTTTCGGAAGAGCTCAGCCTTAAGATCTACCAACTAGAATAAAACAAAAAAGAAAATGATATTTAATTCAATTCTGGAAGGTGACTGGATTGCTAAGCAACTGTAATTCTCCAAGGAAGATTTCACCTTCCTGAACACGGACAAGAAACACAACGTTTAAGTATGGAACTCTATACAATATTAAACAGCACTAGGGTCACACTGTAGTTTTTCTACAAGTATAGTTCTACTCCAGCTTTTCTCACTCCAGGCTTCTTTTTTTTTTTTTTTTTTTTTGTCAAGGGGAGAGTGATAGAGCAAAGTAAGCAAATGGAATTTACATGTTCACAAAGGATTCAAGTCATTTCTGAACCGCCTTCTGTTTGTGGGACACATACCAGAAGTACAGACTCAAGTTTGACTCAGTTTGTTTTTAAAATGTTAAGTTTAACTGAATCATGGGGTTTAAAATGGGAGGGGAGAGGACAGGTGAGGAGAATGGGGCAGCTGGGCAAATTACTTGTGCCTACCTCTCAGCTGTATTAGTCTTAACAGAACAAAGGAAGAGGGGAAGATGATTTAATGAAAAATGGCTACATGTACAGGCATTTGTAAATCAGACACTAGTAGCTGACAAGAAAAATAAAAATGACTGAACTTGGGGGCTAAAGAGATGAGTCAGCAGGTAAGAATATTTGCTGCTCTCGAAGAAGAGTCAGAATGGTATTCAACCATCCATTCCTAACTCCAGTTCCAGAGGATCCAATGCCCTTTTCTGGCTTTCAAGAGCATCAGGCACACATGGGTTGCATGTACAAAGGTGCAAACAAAACAGTTATATACAAAATTTAAAAAATATTTTTTAATGGTTCCTTTTATTTCTAATGTGCAACTGGTGTTTTGCTTTTGTATATGTCTGGGTGAGGGTGTCAGATCTCCTAGAACTGTAGTTACAGACAATTGGGAGCTGCCATGTGGGTCCATAGAGTCCTCTGGAAAAGAAGCCAGTGCTCTTAACTTCTGAGTCATCTCTCCAACCCCATAAACTTTTTATTTTTATTTTTTTAATGACTGAGTTCTGTAATTTTTATTTGAAAGAAATCCATTTTAAAGTACTGTTGGCAGGGATTTTAACAATGTAAAAGAGTTTCACTCCAGGACCCAAAATTCAAAATTCTTAAAAGAAAAAAAAATTACCTTTCAAATTACCTTTCTCTTCATAAATGCATCAATTATCTAATTTTTTTTTTTCTATTCTACAACTACTTCTGAATTTAAGCTCACAAAATGACCAATTCTTGGACTTCATTTGTATTGTAACTATTGAAAACATGACCCTCTGGGTAAGTTAACTTTGGTTTGGTTTTTATAGACAGGGTCTCACTGTGTAGCCCTGGCTATCCTGGAACTATGTAGCTCAAGCTGGCCTGACTCACAGAGGTCTATCCACCTATCTCTGCTTCACACATGCTGGGGTTTAGCGAATGTGCAACTACACCCTGCTTAATTTAGTTTTAAGTACTGAATCCAAGCAAACATAATGACTAAGATCATATTTTTCATTTTAGAAAACAAGTTCCGACACAATACTAGATACAACACTGGGTTTTCCTCTTGTATTCCATAGTCTGTAGTAAATTGAAGCTTAAGTCAAAGGGCAGGCAATTTGTTCGGAGACAATAGACAAGGCAACGCTTTGCACTCAAACTGAACCTGGGTTCTCACACAACAAATCCGTATGTAAATTGAAAACGGTATTCACCTTTGGGTGTCAACTTCATCATCCATGAAGGGTGACCATGAATACCACCTAAATCCTAAGGCACTTCTGAGGACTCAATGGCGGCATGCATATGCAACGCTGGCACAAATGTGTACAGCATTTACAAGTTTTCTGCTCAAGAATGGTTAAGTTGGCAGAACTCCTTACATCCTCACCACCCGGGCAGCCCATCCCACAAATGCACTAACTAACTTGTCTCGGTCCTGCTAAGAAGACCGTAGGTACTCTGGAGTCCTGGGGAATGGAATCATATTCCAATGCTCAAGAAGGACTTTGCTGGTCTCTGGGGTGGAGAAGGCAGGAAGGGCACGTCCTCCAGGTCCCCGCAGACAGCGAGGACTGGCCGGCCTGGGGCGGCTGACCCGCAGGATGCGCACTGAGATCCCTGGGAGAGTGGCTTCCTGGGCCTGTCTGTGGGGCGAGGTGTCGGACAACGCCAGGTTCAGGACCCTGTGAGTAAGGAGTTGTCGAGGGTCCCCGCGGGGAGAAATCCAGTCAGAATCCCTGTCAGACGGGGAGTTCAGGTCCCTGACCCTCAGGAGGCAACACTTGAGTCGTTATTCGCGACTGAGAAGGGCGGGGGGAAACGCAGAGTACGTACTAAGCCACACTCGAACTCACCGAGGAAGCTGTAACGTCCAAAGGCTTCTTCTTTCGATCCATCGTCCAGCCAGGCCTTACGCCCTAACTCCCAACCTCCTGTAGTCTCTGTCAGGCCTTAAGAGCCCGCCCCGCGGCGGAACCGGAAGTGCCTTTGATATCGACGCTGTTTCCGTAATTTTGCGACATAGATTTACGACCTCGGCGCCATCTTGAAAGCGTCAATATGAGGTAGCTAGTCGCTACGTCACCATTTTGAGAAGGTCAGAGAGGGTCCTTAGGGTTGAAGTTGATCGCAAAGGTAATCTTGAAGAGAGCAGAAAGTGAGGTGAGAATGACTAGCATTGTCGTCTTGAGACGAAGAGAGGATAGCTTTCATTGCAGCAGACACCGTATTGAGCGGAGAGTCTTAAGTGATGGAAAAGAATAGTGCCATCTTGAGGAGGGCTAAGTAAACTCCGTCTACAAAATGAAAACAAAGGGAAGTTAGTGAAACTCGAGATGGGGTGGGATATCTATTGTTTGAGAATGGGTTGTGAGAAAAACGTATTTTATTTTAGTTTTCTTTGGAGGTTTTTGTTTTGTTTTGTTTTAGACAGAATCTTACTAAATAGCTAGCTGGTCTCATGTGCAACAATCCTCCTGCCTCTGCCTCCTAACTGCTAGATTACAGGTGTGAACCACCATGCCTAACAGAATGTTCGATTTTTAATATTCATTCACACGTTCATGAGGGAGGGTCTCACTGTGTACAGGTTGGTCCAAAACTTGTTTTGTAGACCAGGCTGGCCTTGAACTCACAGATACCTGCCTGGCGCTTCCAAGTGCTGGGATTAAAGCTGTTTGTCACCACAACAGGCCCCTAGAATACTTCATTATTGAAATTACTGTTTGAATTACTAACTTATTTTTTTTTAATGACCTGGATTAAAAACAAATTTTCAACAGTTTCTGAAATGGCCCTAAACATGCATCTGCTCTATTTCTGCAAAGCAGTGTTCTCAACACTGATCATGATAAAGTCAAAACAATCAACTCTGAAAGACACTGAAAATGCTCTGTGTCCTATAGTATCAACTGTTTTGCCAACATTTAGTTCCTAATGTTAAAAACAAGCACACCCATCTCATTAGGATACGAGTTTGTTTCCATCTTTGATAAATGGTGAAAATATACATATGCCAAAGAATTGTTTTAATTTTTAAAAATTATCTGTACACATTTTATATACCTAGGGTGGTGAAAAAATTGGGTAAAAAGTAATTGTGAGTGGAAAAATTTTAAGAAGTCCTTCATCGTGATAATCTTTGTCTCTAGAATGCCTATGGGAAACCTCTGGTTATCTCCTGGTTAGCTATATAAGCTTACACCATGGAAATTCATACTAAGAGTGGCACCCCACTAAGACAATGCCTCCTAAGACAAAGACATTGCTAGGGAAGGGTGGGAGACAGCTCAGTGTTGTAGCACTTACTTAGCATGTGCAATAACCTGGGTTCCATCCCTAGCACTGGGGAGAAATAGAAATAAGTTGTTGAGTTTCCCTTGTTTCCCCAGCTATCACACAGAATGTGACATTGGCCAGAATGTTGTCTTGGCAGGTCCACAAGTTCTCATACATCCTGTTCCTAAAAGCTCCCTTTTTCCTTCAGTGACTTCCCAGCAGCTTGGTCTGTTTGGAATTGCTTTCCTTTATCTAGTCCCAAGAATGCAGCTGCAACCCAGTTCCCTTTTCCAGAGTGCTATCTTCTTCTAAACCACACCTTGGACCAGAGTCTCTCACGGGGGATTTCTTGCAGACAACAGAGGACGAAAAGGACTCTGTAGACTGGTAAGAGAAGCCTGAGCACATCTCATCACCCTCTGAGCCTCAATTCTCTTCCCTGGCTGGGCACAGAGGATGTTTGACACCATAAAATAAAAATTGCCCTGTATCCATTAATTTTTGTTTGTTTGTTATGACCAAATACATGACAAGAGCAACTTAAGGGAAGAGGCTTATCTTGGCTCATAGTTTGAAGGGATACAATCTATCATAGAGGGGAAGATAAGGTGGGAGATTGTTCCATCCCACAACTCCGTCCAAGCTGGAACCTTTACTTTCTTGAATTTTGACCAGCCTGGAAGGGACGAAGCTATTCTAGAGACAATATATCCATCACTTGTTGGGGGTTGGTCTGGTGAGCTATGTATTCAGATACTGATTTCTGTGCCCCCAGATCTGGTTACAGTCTGGACATGGGCATTGTCATTTCTACAATATCTTGTATCAATGTTGTATATACATTGCTCCCCAGTTTTCTCTGATTGGTTAATAAAGAAGCTGAGAACCAATGACCAGGCAAAAGACATAGAGAGGCTTGACTTCCAATCCAGTAGGGCTGTCTCAGGTAGAGACCACGAGGTAGTAGGAGAAGGAAAAAGAGGTAGAGAAAAGACATGGCCACAAGCAGAAGCAGCCCAGGTAGAATTGATATAGCAAGTAATTCAGGGTGTGTGACTGGGATGTAGCTAGACTAGCATAGAGAGTTAGAATAGATAAATAACTGCCTAGCCCTAGTTCTTTTTAAGCTTGTTGAATAACTCTATTGGTCCCCCTGTCTCCTTATTTGGGAGCTAGAACAAGTGATTAGAAAAGGTCCCCCAAAGATGTTGAGACTCATAGCCAAACTTTGGGCAGAGTGAAGATAATCTTATACAAGAAGGGGGAGATAGACCTGGAGGGTACAGGAGCTCCACAAGGAGACCAACAGAGCCAAAAGATCTGGGCCCAGGGACTCCTGAAGAGACTGATGAATCAACCAAGGACCATGCATGGAGAGGACCTAGACCCTCTGCTCAGATGTAGCCCATGGCAAGCTCAGTCTCCATGGGGTTTCACTAGTAAGGGGAGCAGGGACAGTCTCTGGCATGAACTTGGTTGCCTGCTCTTTGATCACCTCCCTCTGGTGAGATGGCCTTACTAAGCCACAGAGAAAGAGAATCCAGACAGTCCTGATGAGACCTGAAAGGCCAGAGTCAGATAGTAGAGGAGGAGGAGGACTTCCCTATCAGTGGACTAGGGGAGGACTGGGAAAAGATAAGAGATAGGGCTACAGCTAGGATATAAAAATGAATACAGTGTAATTAATAATAATAAAAGAAAAGATCCCCCAAATTTTAAAATATAGTTCCATTCACCTTGGTTGTCAGACAATTGAAACAATGGATCCCCAGAAACTAATTTCCCCTATGAAGTTCATGCTGGCAGAAAAGACTAAAATGAGGCTGGAGGGATAGCTTAGTAATTAAGAGCACTGTATGCACCTCCAGAGAATCTGGGTTTGATTCCCAGAACCTGTATAGCAGCTTCCAACCATCTGTAACTGCAGTTCTAGAGAATGTGGTATGCATTTCTGACCTCCGCAGGCACCAGGTATGCATGTGGTATATGGACGTACATGCAGGTGAAGCACCCATTGGCAGAAAGTTGGTTTGTTTTTTTATGTAAAGAAAGAAAATGAAAAAGCCTAAAGCCTTAGCTAGCTGAAACAGAAACTTTTCTCCTGGGAAAATGTTTCAGGCCACTTTACAGGAGAGTGCAACGAAGATGGTGATGGGGGGCGGGGACCATGCCTTGACCAGGATTGCTTAGCAATGCATTAATCCTTAAACTTAACTCAAGACTCCAAAGATGCACTTGAGTTGGGGAGTAGTCACTGGATCGCAGTCTCTCTTCCCACGCTGATCAACTATCCCTTTTTTTTTTTTCTTTCCACTATTAATTTTACTCTTTTAGTTGGCTTTACAAGGACAGGTGGTGGTTGAACCTGGTATGTTGGGGCACAGGGTGTGATCCTAAATCCAGTAACAACATCTTGGTGGAAGAGAAAGTAAGTGGAAAGTAAGTAGATCCCAGATTAAAATAAAATGCCTCAAAGCCCTTCCCACAGTGATCCACTTCCTCCGGTGAGGCTCCACATCCTGAAGTTGTCACAACTTTCTGAAACACACCATCAGCCAGGACCAAGTGTTCAAACATATGAGAGTATGGGGGCATTTCACAGTCAAGCTACATCCAGCCTGCACAAGAAAGCAGCTCTGTGCACATCCCTCAGATTCAGAGCTGTGCATGACAGCAGTCTGTACGGTGATGCGGCATACTTGACAGAGTGTCTTATGCCTGCTGGGCCCCAGGGCTGTGCAGTGGGTGGCAGGAGGATTCTCTTCTTCCGTTCCATCCCTGTGGGATTTGCATTGTCTATGAAATTGTCTATTGGCTTTAAAGCAAGGAGGAAAGAGAAGATCTTCAAAAACAGTCATCATTCATCTCACCTAGGGGTTGGCTACATCCAGGCTCATTATCAATGACCTGCAGGGGGTTTCCAGCAAGGAGGCACTTAAGGGCGCACTGAAGATCAGCCTCACCCACTGCAATAATCTGCCAAGGCTGCTAGTGTGAGATTCTAATCGGCTATAAAGTCTACAGGTTTAATTGAGTCCAGGAAGCATTTTAGCATGTGAAAACTAATTTTTTGTACATGCTCTGTTTTCTTAAAAGAAAACTGTATCTCTCCTCACTTGTCCGGCACGCAGAGCCCTCACCTTTGTTCCATCTCCAACACCACTGACTCTAATGAAAAATTGCTCAGCAGTGCATGAATAAGCTGACTCCAATGTGTGCAAAAAGAGATTAGGTCAGACTGAAGAAAATTGGGTTTTCCACAAGGGTACAGGATGAGACAAAAGGCAGGAAGATAAGCAGTGGGACCCTGGATGTCAATCCAGCTGACCTTCATGAAGAGGAGGTAAGACTGTCAGTGTCATTATGGCACTCAATTTCTACAGCAACCTCAGGGGGTAGGTGATTTCATTGTTCTTATACAGGAGCAAACAGAAACACAGAGAAGGCAAGTATGTATGCAAGGTCACATAGCTTGGAGTCAAGCTCTACTGGGAAAAGGAAAAAAAAAATCAGCCTCTTGTCCCAAATTATTTCTGCAGAAAGGACCTGTGGTTGGGTCACTCTAAGTTCCTGCTGACTGGTAGCAATACTCAGCTTTTCTGGGCTTACAGCCATTTTTCTGATCCTGTCACCACACCTCCCTCTGTCTTTGCATGATTGTCTTCATGTAAAGACT